AATCACCCCTTAAATACTTTGGTCCGTTGGAGCCTATTTTTCTACTATAAAATGAGGTGTTTGGGTCTGTTTTACACATCACATTACTTCTCAACTCCTACTCTTTCATTGCAAATCATTCTTTAATTATTCATAGCTTTTGAGAGCCATTTTTGTGAAGCTTGTGTCGTGTTCTTGAGCGTTCTTAGTTTACTCAATATCCACTCTAAAAAGAGAGTATTGTTCTTGAGTGTTTTTAGTGTTCTTAGACACTTGACAAGAGAAGGTATTTCTCTTGTTGTTTGAAGGAAGGGTTGTTTCCTTCGAAGGTTCGTTGAGGTTCGTGTGACTCGAACTCTCAAGATGTATGGGTTTGTTAAGCACCGTTAAGCTTAACGAGATAGTAGTGTAGCTCGAGAGAGTCTCTCGGGAGGCTGGATTAGCCACAAGTTGTGGTGAACCAGGGTAAAATCGGTGTGCCTCTTTCTTTTCTCTTTACTTCTCACTTATTCATTTTTATTCCTGCGATTTCTTGATCAAACGCTATTCACCCCCCCCCCCCTCTAGCGTTGGTCTATTATTCTAACAAAAATAAATACGAAAAATATAAATACTATTTTTTAAAAAAATAAAAATAATAATTTTCATTTAACTTAAATAGAATTTTAGAATCATGCTACATATATTAATCCTTTATCTTACTTTCATATTTATAAATTTCATACTTAAATTAATAAGTAACAAAGATTTATTAATGGAAATTCATGTATATAAAGGTTGAAATCAATAGAGTACTTATACTAATAGAAATTCCAATACTATTTTTGATTCCTTACTTATTTGTCTTAATTCCATGAGTATATATTATTGATCACCTTACTTATATATGGTCATTAACAAAATTTATAGAAAATCTTATTAAGAAACAATCCTAAATAATACTAAATTTGTAAATTATGATCACGAATATATTATTCATCACCTTACTTATATTATGTATCTTGGATAATACTAATATTATTTTCGATATCTTTACTTATATATGGCAATCCTTAATTATGTATCTTAGATAATCAATAATATTATATGTAAATATCTGTATTCAGATTACAACAATACGAACTCCAATTACGATGATAATATAAAAAATTAAAAATAAATATGAAGAAATATAAATACTATTTAAAAAATAAATAAGAATATTTTTAATTAATTTAAGTAGAATTTTAGGACCATGCTACATATATTAATCCTTTACCAAGGAATTCTCACCATAATAAAGTCATTCCTAAAATACAAAAGGTAAGTAAATAATTAAATGTGAAGCTATCCTAATACGGCCGTGCATTAGAAAATGATTCATGCATAGCCATGAATGGTATGATATGATTTCAAGAATAGATTACTTCCTTAACACATGTTGATTGACAAAATTTACGAAAAATATTATTAAGAAACAATCTTAAATAGTACTAAATTTGAAAATTATGATCACGAGTATATTATTCATCACCTTACTTATATTATGTTTGTTGGATAATACTTATATTATTTTGGATCCCTTTACTTATATATGGCAATCGTTAATTATGTATCTTGAATAATCAGTAATATTATTCTGGATTCGTTTATTTTTAGTAAGAAATTCGTTATATCTAGAATGGACCCAATATTATTTTGAATTCCTTACTTATATATCTAACTGGCAATAAGTTAAATTACTCACTTTTATATCCAAATTTATGGAAACTCTTATATACTTGGGTCAAAATCCTATTATAAAAAGAGATATATAATGAGTTGAAATGTGACATCCATCACCCATTTTCATTTTCCATTTCAATACATAGGCCTTCAGAATTAATTATGCAATAAATAAGTGGAGAATCGTTAATTCAACTTCAGCCTTTTGTTTTTAAAAGGATCGGTGGTAGGAGCATCCTATTTTTCAATTTCAATTGGGGCTATGGAAAATCAAGTTGACGATACATGGACGAGATCAGCTAGAGATGCAAGAGAAATGAGAAAATGAATACTTCAACAAAAAAGATAGAAAAGATGTGCACTTTAAATATTGTTTTATCTTAATACATTTAATTATGTTTTATTGTTTTAAGGTAATTTGATGCATAACATTTTTGAATTATTTAAAATAACAAAAATGAAATGGGATATGTTAGTGACCAGAATTTTTGTATTTAAAATTTATATGGTTGCTTTTTAATGAGCATTGAAAAATTTTCTTATCTTCACATATAAATCGTTAGTATAGATAAATTAATTTATGTTAAATAAAAAAAGTTTTATACAAAATTTAATATTAGATGTCAATTTTAGAAGGATTTAAAAAATTCTCCATGTGAAAATGAACACTCCAAGAAAAGATAAAAATATATGTTTATTCATGTTATTTTATAGTCATGTTATTTTATCAATTATAATCTGCATCTATAAAAAAAATTAAACGTCGTTCATAGGTTGCATAGAAATCATGGATAATTAAGATGTAAAATTGTTGATTTATCATATAGCTCACTGATTATTTTTTATTAATTTTATATTTACATCAATAGGAATAAAATGATGTCTAACCATGACTCTTTAATTTCATTTTTCTACATTTTTTATGAAAAAAAATAGTTTATACATATTGAATATTTTAAACAATTGAATGGACGAATATTAACAAAGTTGAGTAAAAACATATTCGTATTTAAAATCTTTTCAATAAAATTCAAAATTTTTCAATAAATTTGATATGAAATGGGTGAATATAAAAAAGTGTGAGTACATATTTTAAAACAAAATGATATGCATGCGAGGAAAAAAAATTAGGCATTGATACGGAATGATCAATGTAAATAATTCAAAGTTCAAATATAATTTTTAAATTGGAAAATTTACTTATATCTAACACGTAATTCATTTATCAAAATGGCAACTAAGCTGTGTTCAACTGAAATAATTGATACTCCATATATATATTCATAGTCAGAGGAATTTACCTAAATAACACTAAAACATAATGACTTTCCCTAAATAGCAACATATGTTTTTTATTTCTCAATGTAGCACTTTTGAACGAAATCAAATGTTTGGGAATCCCAAACCACAAAATAGTCTTGAAAAAAGGGGTACCGATTATGCTATTGAGGAACATTGACCAAACATCTGGATTGTGTAATGGGACAAGATTAATCGTTCAAGAGCTGCGAAATAATGTTATCGGTGCAATTGTGGTTTCGGGAAATCGGGTCGGGGAAAAAGTTTACATCCCTAAAATGAATTTGTTACCATCTGATCTAGGGCTACCCTTGAAGTTTCAAAGAAGATAATTTTTCGATCGCCTCATGTTTTGCTATAACAATCAACAAAAGTTAAGGTCAAACATTGTCATTTGTGGGATTATTTTTAACCAAGTCAGTGTTCACACATGGTCAACTATATTTTGTTGTTTCACGAGTGAAGACAAAGACCAGATTAAAAATATTAGTTCTAGATGACAATAGAAACTCTTGCAATTATACCAAAAATGTTGTATACCTTGAAATCTTTCAGAAAATTTGGTATTAAAATAAACATTGTTAACTCTACATTCTGTTCTTCAAATATTATTTATTTTACTTTGACTTTTTTCATTTGTAGTATTAAAAATAAATTTACTTCAAATATTTACTTTATTCTGAAAAATAAATTTCATTAAAATAAACTCAGAATCGACATAAATTTTTTTCGACCCCGTGCATGGCACGGGTCAAAATACTAGTATTTAGAGAAAATATGACCAGACTTGTCTATTTGGGCGAACCAATACAAATGTTCATCCAAGTGTATTATGTCTTATAAATCCAATGTAGGATAATGGCTTGTGTGTGAACCATCGCGTTTGAGGGAAACATTCAAATGTTTCAAGTTACACATTTGACTGTATAAGATTTCAAAAGGTCACTAGATATTCATACATACATTCGAATGTTACAATTCCGCATTTGATTGTGTAAGACTTTGAAATTGCTCGTATGACATTTAAATATTCAAATGTACTGTGACAATTTCATATTGGAATATATATACACAATGAATTTTTTGTAAAACAATTTGTAATATTGTTAAACGTAGCGAGCATGACTTTACCTCCGAACTTTCCTAACAATGTTAAGTAAAATAACATTCAATCTAAACAAATCAAATTGCATAAAACGATTGGAATTGATAACAATAACATATCAGAATAGAATTATTTACATATCAGAATAGAATTAACAAACTCATTTATTAATAAAAATATCACGTTGATCGACTAAATTTTCATCTTAGTATTTACACATTTCAAATATATTGAAACATCGAAGTGTCAATAAGAAATGAACTCTTGCTATTCATTTGAATACTTGAAGAAAATATACGCATAAGTTCAACGTAATTTACTTTAATTTGATACTATATTTTACACATCTTGTATCTCTATCATTCAACAAGCATATAGAAGCCAAGTTCAAGCGTGTTGAAATGGTTAAACCTCATAATCATATAGGTGCCTCTTATAATTCTTGTATTTGCCTACACACTTTTTTCAAAAGAATCATGAAGAAGTTAATTATACTTTAACCTCCTCATCTTTTGTACCAACACACACACACACACACATATATATATATTGTTTTAAAAGAACCATTAAGGGATATACCTCAACGTAACCTTCTCATCTTGCACATACAAACACATTACTTGGGATGAAGTTTTTAATGTGTTGTGATCTCTATATTTTATGCTTTCTACATTAAATACTACACCTAACATTGTATTAGGTAAAAATTGGGTATCCCAATATGGGAGACTTCATATGGACTTTAATTTAATCCCTTTAGCCAGTTTGTGCATGAGATCTCTTTTTAACTCTTTGGTTAAATAATTAGCTAGATTGTATTGAACTCTAACAAGCACCCAAGTGTTTCTACTTGCAATTGTACACTTGAGTATATACACCTTAGCCAATGTGGCAGCAATGTTACTTCGGATAGATATGAGAGATATTAGTGTAGGCCATAATTGAATTTCATGCACTAAGTTTATACTTACTCAGCCTCTTTAATGGCTACCGCTAAAGCAACAAACTTAGACTCCAATGTTGATGTTGGGATTCAAGTTTGCCTCTTTGAAGCCCGACAGATAGCTTCTATACTGATCCACTTGTGGAGGAGTAATCTTCATACGTGTTATCCAAATTACATTGGAAGATCCTTCACGTTGTAATTAAGTATTTAATTTAAATACTCTCTTCATAGCTTGCCCATGATATGTATCATAATTGCTAGTATACCTACTTAGCTTTTCAACATCAAACGTTATGTCATGTCTTGTGCTAATAATGACATACATTAAGTAACAATTAGTCATTGAGTATTCAAGCTAATAAGACATGACTTTGCCTTCTTAGAGATGAGTTTTGAACTATAACCCATAAGAGTACTAACTAGATTATAGCTTTCACAATTGAGTTTCTTCAAAACTCTCTCAATGTAATATAAATTTAAGGATAAAGCTATTTGTACCCCAACATTTTGTACCCCATTTGTACACCGCAGGTTTGCACCAACATTTTGTATTGGTGTAAAACTAATTTTTGTTAACGCACCAACACTTTTGGTCAGTGTAAATTTTTGTTAACGCACCAACACTTGTGTCGGTGTAAACCATCAAAATATTTATATATAACTGCGGTGTACAAATAAGGTACAATTTTTGGTGTAAGTGTAGCATGGTCCTAAATTTAATTACTAAACTGAACTTTTAACTAAGCCCAGCCCATTTAATCTCTCTCTCTCTGTTTTTTTGTCGTTGTCTTCTCCCCCCTTTCGCGCCAATTTAGCCCTAGCCTGCAGGCTGCAACAATGGTAACAGGGATTTCTCCATCTGCAGCTCCGGAGGAAGGAATGTATGTATTAAGTTCATTTCATGCTTTCTGCTCCCCCCGTCCCCCGGATTTTTACTTGGATATGATCCTATGTGAAATTTAAGTTGAAATTAGGGATGAAGAAATGAATTTCTCTTCCGAGTCAAAATCCATATTCGCTCGATTTTCCCCTAATTGTTAGCTTGATTCATGTACTGATGCTATCTATGAAATGTCACTTTCTCTTATTATTCACGGCCGAGGGTTCGGGCCGTTTCGTCTGGAATTGATTGAAAAGCGTTTTTGTTTCGTCTCTAAAATTTGTTTCCTCTTATTATTCTGATTTCGCATGCGTCATTTGATGATGATGATGATGATGATGCTAGGGTTGATTTGTGTCCATGGTTTTGAGTATATATGTAATTTCTCTTTTACTGGCAGTTTAGATCTTTGGCCCATTGAAGGCAAAAGATCTTCACTTTGAGGAAATTAAAGAAATACAAGGAGGAGGAAGATAGTTATTCTTGTCTTCTTGAAGATTTAACTATAGTGGGGGAGTGGTTGGTTATGGAACCAGTGCAAGGAGGGGCAGAAGCAGTACTAAAGCTTCAACCGAACGCATCCGTTTCTATTGCCTACCATCCTCTCTTTGGACCCCATGATGATCTAATGCTTCTCGAACTTGATGAGAAATTCGTCCCTGATTTTCTACACCAAAGGTATGTATTGTCAATACTTTAGAAACTATTGTAGTAAAATCTGCTAGGCCAAACTGCCCATAAGTTGAACTAGATTGGAGTGAGGGGTATCAATCTTACTTCATTAGGATGTATGACTGATAAGACTGAAGTTGAAAAGAACATTAGCAGAGTAAAAAGGTAAAGTTGGTAACTTTTCATGTCAGCCCATTCGTCTTAGACGTCTTGTGCCAACATTTCTGAAGTTGGATTAGGTGATGTTTAAGCTGGAAGAGAAAGATTTGATGCCCAAGTATTATATGGATTTCGGGCATGCGGGATTTTCTTTTTACTGTTTGCTTTTTTTCTTTCATCTTGCTTGCTTGAACATTTGTAGTTTTGTGTAAATGTAAATTCTTTATATCCAGTGTAACATTGAGAGGGCAACCAGACGAAGATGCAGTGCTGTGCACAGAGTCAAAAACATATGCCCTCAAATTTGTAGGGACATCAAACTCCGTTTGCCTTATTCCTCCAATGGACCAATCAATCTCAGAGGATGTTACTATGCTGAGTAGTAATGACAAGACAACTGTTTCTTCTGTCCTGAAAGTGGCACCTGGCTGTATGGAACTGGTCGAGGTTGCTCCAAGATTGGACAAACTCAAAATGCTTCTCTCCAAGAATCCTTATAGTTTTGATGACGAAGACAAGGCTTCTGAAATGGACATCTCAGAATCTTTATATACGTGGGATGATCTCGTGGAGAGTGTTCAAGCCAGTGATGAGGAGCTGAGATCTGGCTTACAAGCTCTGCCAGCTGTGGAGATTAACGGGTATTGGAGAATTTTAGATGAAAAATATATGGATGGAGTTCTGAACATGCTCCTGCACAACTCAATTCTCAAGAACTGGTCTCTGGACGCGCTGGTAGAAAATGAAGTTCTTCAAGTGCTGGAAGGAGACGGATTCCCTAAGAAAATCGCAAGGCATTGTTTGGAAGTCTACGCGGTTAGGGATGAAGAAGAAGAAGGCTCCGTTTGGAGAATGGATGAGAAGAAAATATGTGTACGCTTTGCAAGAGAGATACTGAGGGGAGGGAAGAAGATGAAGGTGGAAGGTTTCATGGAGGAATGGAGACGGAAGATTCCAGATGGTATGGATGCGAGTTTCGAGATGCTTGAAGGGGAAGTGTTGACAGAAACGATTGGGATAGAGGCATGGGTATATGCATTTAGCGTGTCTTCGTTGTCGTCCGTTCCTGCTGAGAGGTTTCCAAAGCTTTTCCAGGAAAGGGCAAAATGGGAATGGAAGGATTTGCAGCCATATGTCAGGTCCCTTCTTCTTCTTCTTCTTCTTCTTCTTCTTCTTCTTCTTCTTCTTCTTCAAATTCTTCAAAGATTCCAGGCAATGTGAAACTAGGAATAACATTAATCTGAAAGTGGTGGCTCCTATTTGCAGGGATCTAAGGGTGCCGGGGATGTCGCTCGAAGGGTTGCTTCTAAAGTACACGCGAAGAACGCAACCAACAGCGGATTCAGAACCCGTATTCAGCGCGAGATAGATAGATCCATAGATAGATAGATAGATTAATGAATGGATACTCCCAACCATTTGTATTGCAGTGTTTGCATAAGAGTTCTGATCTGGATTAATAGTCTATCATTAGTTTTGTACGTTTCCCTATAAATATGTTGATAGAGCACATTACAGTTTAACAGTTCATAAGACTATATTTCTGAAGACTTGCGTCTCCTCCCTCCTAAAATTAAACTCTCAATTCATTCACATGTCAAGTTTTTTTCTTACTTATTTTTGCTATTTATTGGTTAAATAGTACTCCATCTGTTCAGAAATCATTTTTTCATTTAACTTCTCACGATTTCTAATGTAACATTTAGATCATTAGTATCTAAATTTATATATTGATACCGGAGTATATTTTATGAAACATTTATATTTCAAAACAACATTTTATGAAAAGCTATTGATATTAAACGGAGTACTATATTTATATCAAAACACGGTGTATTTTTTTCATATATCGATGTATAAGTTTATAAACTTTAAGGAAGTAAAATCAAACAAGAAGATCATTTTTGGATGTAGGAGGTACGGAATATATAATATCTTATTTTATAGAACACTCAATATAATTTTTGAATACATAAATTTTATTTTATAGTTTTGCATCATTATTTAAACAAATAATCTTTTTTTAGAAAAATAATCTCTTTAGTCACACTTGTGTACATAATCATTTCTTTAGAAAAACATGTAACAAAATACCTGAAACATGTAACAAATATAGAAGCTAATTTGACAAGATTTTCCTTGTCTTCATCATGGTGAAAAACAATGAAGAGTCTTCTTTAACCTCTTATGCACACGACATTATTTTAGAATAATACTTGAAAAATGAAATATCCAACTCATTTAAAACATTATACTATGGAAAACTATTCAAGAAAATCACTATAGAAGAAATAAAGAAGTTTGAGAGATCAACCAAAAAATAAAATATTGTATGTTATACTACATTTCAAAATCAAAATTAACACTTCAAATCAAGTTTTTTAATGTTACATGCATCACATCTTCGCATAATATATGTGTGTTCTGCGTGCTTCAATCATGTTTTCCTTGCAGGATTGATTAGTTACGTAGCGGTTCAAAACTCATATGATATCAACCCTCTAAAGACTAACAAAGATTCCTTAGCCCACACAAAAAAAATGATAAATATCTTCACAAGCCTAACAACATTCAAAAGTCACAACTTTTGAATGTTGTGTGGGAGGTCTAAAAAGACAATCATGAGTCGAAAGAAAGAACATTTCAATTTGAGCACTTCATCTCTTCAGAAATCATCTTTTCACAAGCTATTGATATTATACGGAGTACTATATTTATATCAAAACACTGTGTATTTTTTTCATATATCGATGTATAAGTTTATAAACTTTAACGAAGTAAAATCAAACAAGAAGATCATTTTTGGATGTAGGAGGTACGGAATATATAATATCTTATTTTATAGAACACTCAATATAATTTTTGAATACATAAATTTTATTTTATAGTTTTGCATCGTTATTTAAACAAATAATCTTTTTTTAGAAAAATAATCTCTTTAGTCACACTTGTGTACATAATCATTTCTTTAGAAAAACATGTAACAAAATACCTGAAACATGTACTCCCTCCGTCCCATTTTATAACGCCTGTTTCGGTTTACGATGTTTGACTGAAGTTATTTTCAAATCATTTTATATGACAAATGGTATAGAATTAAAAAATAAAAATTACGTATCAAAATACTACATCAAAAGATCTACAAAACTAGTAGTGACAACAATATTTTATTTTATCAATTTGCTAACGAAAATAGAGAAAGAAAGTGAATGAAATTTGACCCTGTGAATAGTAAACAGGCATTATAATTTGGAACGGATGGAGTACTACAGAGAACTATTCAAGAAAATCACTATAGAAGAAATAAAGAAGTTTGAGAGATCAACCAAAAAATATGTTATACTACAATTCAAAATCAAAATTAAGACTTCAGATCAAGTTTTTTATTGTTACATGCATCACATCTTCGCATAATATACGTGTGTTCTGCGTGCTTCAATCATGTTTTCCTTGCACGATTGATTAGTTAAACAGCGGTTCAAAACTCGTACGATATCAACCCTCTAAAGACTAACATAGATTCCTTAGCCCAGACAAAAAATGTTAAATATCTTCACAAGCCTCAACAACATTCAAAAGTCACAACTCTTGAATGTTGTGCACCCAAGGAATCAACTTTGGTGGGAGGTCTAAAAAGACAATTATGAGTCAAAAGAAAGAACCTCCTCGGAAACATCGATCACGTCCTCAAACATGACCTCCTTAGCCTCGTACTCTTCGTCTTCGTCGCTTTCCTCCCCGTCGCGGAGCCTTAGCCGCTCCAACTTCTCCTCTTCGTGCACTCTCTTCCACTCGTTGATCCAAGCCTCCCATTCATCCTTTAACCTCCTTCTCTTCTGGCGGTCCTGCTCGCTTAGTTGCAGAGAAACATCCTGGTCCTCCGCCTCGTATTTCTTGCTGTATTTTTTCAGATTCTTTGCAATCTCCTCCTCTTTCTCCTTGCTCAGCAAAGATGGGGGCCTTGGACGCCACAGAAACTGCAATCGTACCCAAACTCATGTTTAACTTATTAGTTAATCCCTTTATAATATGGTTGAATCTCTATAATTATCTACCAAGGCATTAACGTTTTACCAAGTAATACGGATTATATCTTTTTTAACAGATTTAAGAAGATAATATCTAAATCAGAAAAAAATTCCATATATGGTCTCTAATTACAAGTAGTTTTCCATATTTAGTCTCCCCTTATATGATATTACATAAATAGTCTTCAATTTTTGAAAATTATTCCATAATCATGGTCTTTCGGAAACTATTTGTGGAAAAAATGTTGTCATATTTGGCCTAAACGGCTATTTATGGAATAGTTTTCAAATATTGAGGACCATTAAATCTTATAATCGGGGACTAAATATGAAAAGATTGTTGTAATTAGGGACCATTTATGGAATTTACTCTAAAAAAATATGTAGCATAAAAGCTACAAACATCATTTTCAGCCCAAAGAATATATATCCTCTACTGCTTTAACAAAGGGACTCTAAGGGTATGGTATGTATGGGAGCAGAATTGGGGGTGTGAGGTGGTGGAGACTATTTTCAAATTTAAAAACAGTGCTCTTACACGGGAAATCTTCAAAATAAAAAACTATAATAAATTGATAAATTAATATAATGTCAATGTCCTTGATATTGTGTATACATTATCAGAAACCACGCTTAATTCTCTTAAATCAAACATTAAGAATGACTCCCCTAAAAGATGCCCTAAGTGCAATACTTCTATGTTTTGAAAGGGGGTGACATTAAAAGAATAATAAAGATAGGACACAAAAAAGATGGAAAAGATGAAAAGCCTGAAAACAAGAAAATACTTCTGACAGCACCCACCAAACCTTAAATCCCATCCAAAATGTGAAAACACTACGAATACTATTTTTTTTTATAAAAAAATAGCAAGTATACAATCTTACTTGAAAGAAATGATCCCTCGAGAACCGATACAACAGCTTGCCATGGAAAGACCAAATGTTGAAACCATTCTCCATTTCATGAACGGATGTGACAGATGTTGCGACATATCTTACAATGATTAAAAGGTTGGATAACACACCATTAGAATAGTGAATCAGATAAATAAATGTACGTGTCCAAAATTAAGTTTCTTTAACTTATATATAGCAGTTATTCTAAAAGTTACCTTCCAGTAGGATCCCATTCAATTTCAGTAGCCATGAAATGGTCCGTCACGGCCATGGTTTCCAGTTCCTTGGCATCAAAGAACTCCAATTGCCCATTGAGCCCTTTTAAGCCAGCCAATATGATAAAACAACCTGTGGGTGACCAATATAGAGCATTTGCTTGTTTCCCCTTGAGTGTCACAAGCTTTGAAACTCTTCCTATGTTACTGCCACTCTTCATAGAGTATAAACTAATGTCTGGCTTAGGGTTGTCACCATGGATAACTGCAAATTTGTGTCCTTTTGGCTCCCAAGCAAATGCAATAATCTTATCATTCTTGTTTTCAAGCTCCAAAACCTCAATGGGAATATCTCTTTCCTTAATTCTAAACAGCTCAAAGCCTGTATATGTGCTTTTCTTTGTTTTTGTGTACCGATCAACCTTAACAGCAAGGTACTCCCCATTGCTTTGCCAATACATTTTGCAGTCGCTGACACTGAAAAGGTTCTTCTGCCTTACTTCTTCCTTGCTTGGAATTTGTACAAGACTCACCTGCAAGGAACAAAGTACACTTTATTTAGGACCAGTTCGGTAAGGGTTTGGCTCAAACTTCTGAAAAGGGAATCATTTGGTAAATACTTTTTGGCCAAAAGTTAAAGGCTACGTATTACATGCAAAATAAAACAAACAAAGCTAACAGAGCCTTAGTTTGGAATATTAAAACCAAGAAATGCAGAAGTAAAAAAATAAATCAAAGCAAATGATAGAAACCACCTACCCTTGCAGGCTGATTTCCTCCACCAAGTTCAGGAACAAAAAGAGCAAGAATGGGGTCCGTTGGAGACCAACAGAAGTCCAGAACATTATCAATTTTTATAGACTTTTTGTCAATAAGGCTGAAAGTCTCTGTTTCATATACGGAGATGACATTTTTTCCTATTCTGGCAAAATACTTGTCCTCCTTGCCGCCGCCCCATCTGGAATATTTTATTTAATTAACAAGTTACAACCCCATGAGTCACATTGATAACATCAACTTGCTTAAATCTGTACCTAAATACATTTCATAATGCATTTTGCAATGAATGTATGCAAATTTTTCCCAGGCTCACCTAAAAATTGGCCAAGAGACACCAGCAACGCCACCAGTCCCAACTGCAAACTCATCAGCACTCCCTTTAAATTCTCTTCGGACTTTTCCACTTCTCACATCAAAGATGTTCAAAACAACCCTCTGTGAAATGAAAAATATTGGAGAAAATGTGCCATCAGCCACAAAAACTAAGCAAAAGTATAATTGCAAACTCATCATCTAGTCATAATCACAAACTTACATGAGAATCACGAGGATTACTTGGCTCATGGCTGCTGTAGGTTACCAAGTAGCTCTCGCCGGGAGAAAAGTCAATGAGCTTCACCTGCATTTAGATCCACCATAGCTGATAATGTAAATAATAGACTTCATTTCA